TGTCCCCCTCCGTGGTAGATGGGTTTCCCTCAGACCCGCTCATGGTCTCGCCAGAATCGGGACGATAGGAAAAGAAAAGAGTTCTAACAATATGTTGGATCCCCAAGCATCGAGAATAAATCCACGTTTCAAATGAAAGCAAAGTTTATTTCAAAGCATTGGAAAGAATACTCAAACACGTTCCTTGTTAGAACTGGGGACAAGCAGTTAGGGCAAACATGATAAAGGGATTCAAGTTAGCTACATATCCAATGAATAACGTTCCCGCTGGCGGGCAGGAGAAAACGGTTGCGCGCCCAGGTCCTGGGAAACAGGCGAACAATAGACATAACACAGGTGCCGTTCTCAGGCTTGAGAAATAACAAGCTAGTAGCGAAGCATACTCTCCCCCACACAACCTCCAGTTGTTTTACTTTAGCGTTACAGCAGGAAAACACATTAGCCAGCTGGCAGGGGCAGGAACCACATATGTACAAAAAGAAGTCACACAGAACACCATGGCAGCTTGCTGACAACTAGGCAGTGGGGGCTCTGGGTGGCTGGGGTGTGTGATGCTTTTTAGACCCCTTCTCTGACCACCTCTCTTTTGCCTCTTTAATTTTCTTTCTCCCTCCTTAACCTGTTTGCTTTCTTGGCATGAAAGGCGGGTGGGGGGGGGGCAAAGTAAGCCAGACTTCACCAGCAAGAGGAGGGACTCTCTTCTCACTCGTGTGCGTGCCCTCATCTCCTCCTTCCTGCTCTGTTTCTGTTTTGGGGAACATGAAAAGAACATTGGTCTTGGCTGCAGAACTTCTAGGAGACAAGGGCTGGGTTTGGCTTGTCCTGTCTCCCTGCCGGGGCTCACAAGGAGACTCTCGCTTTGCCGGTTCTTGCTCTGTTTGTGCCTCTTGATGTGATGAACTGATTTACCACCAGGAGATAATGCTGTTCTGTAACGACCGTCCCTCTCTCTCCTCTTAGCATGTGTCAATCCTATAGCATCTGCGAGCTGTGTGAGGCTGGGATATATGCCCACGATCCCAACCACGTGCTTCTGAAGCTGCGGAGGCCTGTCTTGTGCCTCTCAGAGACCTACAGCCTCGGGCAGTTCTCGCCTCGCCTCGCCACTCTCGAACAGCTCAGGCAAGCAGCCCTTTTCTTGACTCCATCCTTTGCGTCCAGCTGCTGGGCTTTCTGTGATCGGGCATTAGAGGCTGGCAGGCAGAGGCTTGTCCGAAACGCAGGCTCGGCCCAGCCTCCTGTTGCCGGGGTTCCTTTGCCTGCCCCAGTCTTTCCTTCAAGGCCCGCTTCCCTTTTGGCCCTGGGAATGACGTCTCTCCCGCCAAAGTCTAGCTCCTTTCCTAACTCGCCAGGACTGCCTTTCTGTATTGCTGGTCAGGAGGCCGAGTCCTCCGGGTCACTTGCCCAACCCCTGCTACTTGCCGTCTCCTTTTGGAGTCTGGCAGTTCACTGTTGTTTAGGGTCACCAAAGGATCATGGGGTGGGCTGTCAAGCCCCGTCTGCAGGCACGGCCTCGGTCCCTGTCTCCCTGCTGGTCATGAACTCTTGAGGCCTCCTGTGACTCTTCTGGTGCTTCAAATGGGGTTTTGTCGCTGGTGGCGGCTGTATCCCACCATCGAGAGGCTTCTCGCGAGTGTTGGCAATTTGATCTCTAGTTCCTCTGCCTCTTCGAAACCCAGCTTGTACTTCTGGCAGTTCTCTATCCACATACTGTTGAAGCCTAGCTTGTAGGATCTTGAGCATGACCTTGCTAGCGTGTGAAATGAGTGCAATGGTGCGATAGTTTGAACATTTCTTGGCATTGCCCTTATTTGGGACTGGAATGTATACTGACCTTTTCCAATCCTGTGGCTACTGTCGCGTTTTCCAAATTTGCTGGCAAATTGAGTGCAGCACTTTAACCCCCTTTTTTTGTTTGGACCTGTGAAGGCTCCAGAAGCAGGTGGACAAGCGTTTCCTGAAGGCGGAGAAGCAGCGCTTGCGAGCGGAGAAGAAGCAGCGCAAAGCGGAGGTGCGGGAACTCAAGAAGCAGCTGAAGTTGCACCGGAAGATCCATCTGTGGAACTCTGTCCATGCTCTGGACGGCGTTGGTTTGACAGCGGCCAGACCCGAGAGCCTACAACCCACCGCACTTCGGTAAGCACCCTTGAGACTGGGCTGCGGAGGACAGGCAGCAGCAGCAGCACCCCCTTTTTTAGATTCTGGCTGGCTCTTTCAGAAGTTTTAAAACAGTAAAACAGGAATTCTGAAGCTGAGCCAGGGTTTTTTTGGTTTGTTTTTTAGATAGTTTAATTCAACATATAAAATAATACACATGCTACATTAATACAGGATCGATGACCTCCCCGAATAATGACAGTTTTCATTTTTATCTCTCAAACAAATTCTAAGAGCCAGTTTGGTGTAGTGGTTAAGTGCACGGACTCTAATCTGGGAGGACCGGGTTTGATTCCCCACTCCTCCGCTTGCAGCTGCTGATGTGAATTTGGGTCAGTCACAAGCTCTAGCAACGCTGTCCTTGGAAAAAGAGCAGTTTGTGTCAGAGTTCTCTCAGCCCCACCCACCTCACAGGGTGTCTGTTGTGGGGAGGGGGAGGGAGAGTGAAGGGCGGGGTATAAATCCAATCTCTTCTCCTTCTCTTCTAACTAAACACAAAACCGTCTGGCTCTTGACTACCTCCGAAGGATGCTCTGCTCTCTCCAGGGTGTGGGTGGCACACGATTGGTTGTCCTATCTCCATCGGTCCTAGTGTCTTTGACTCCTGTCACGGCCACCAAACAATGTTCCCTCTAAGCTGTGGAGTCTTGTGAGCAAAAACTCTTCTTTCTGAGTCCCTGGCATTAAAGTTGTGAGCGAGCGATTGGGCTAACTGCAGAAATTGGTTTGCTATGGAGCCCTCCTCCTTGAGGGGAGGCCAGAAAATGTGTGAGCCTGAGGCTAAAAAGCTGTGAGCTGGCTCACACTGACTCAGCTTAGAGGGAACACTGCCACCACAGAGCCCTGGGAACGGCAGCTTTGCAGAGGCCACTAAGGCTCTCGGGGGCCTTTCCTCGGTCTCCTTCCCAGTGTTCCGAGGTCCGTGACCGCTAAGCAGTGCTGAGGTTCCCTTCCAGCTGAGATTCCCAGGGTTCAGTGGGCCGGACATGAGCTTCCCTACCCCGAGCTTCAGTCGAGTGACATCCCGTGCTTTGCAGTCCCCTCCAGGGCTGCCCGGTCGTTGTCCCCACACTAAGTGCCGCCTTCGTGGATGAAAACCTGCCCGACGGAACCCACCTTCAGCCAAGAACGGCCTTCATCAAGCATTGGCGCATGAGGAACATTGGCAGCATGGAATGGGATTCTGACACCAAGGTACCTCTCAGTGCTCAATTTGTGAGGGGTGGGGGAGGAATGGTGCTGTGGGTCTCTGCTCTCTCTGCAGGCTCATCTCCGCCCCCTTCAGCCAGAGACGCAGGGGCTTCTTGTCATTGTTCAGTGGTGGAGGAAACAGGCTTTTCCTCCTAGTGTCGATGTTTTGGAGATATGCACCCGAGGCCGCCTCTTTCATACCATTCTTAATATACAGTTCGAGACCCGAGTGTGCCGCATGACGGAGTGAGCTCCCGTCTCTAGTTCCAGCTCCTGCCAACCGAGCAGTTCGAAAGCAAGGAATTGCAAGTAGATAAATAGGTACCACTTCGGTGGGAAGAAGGTCACAGCGTTCCGTGCGCCTTGGTGTTTAGTCATGCCGGCCACATGACCACGGAAACGTCTTCGGACAGCGCTGGCTCTTCGGCTTTGAAATGGAGATGAGCACCGCAACCCTAGAGTCGGACTCGACTGGCTTTCGAGCAAGGGAACCTTTACCTAATATACAGAAAGTCACCAAAAACCTACTTTGCTTTCCCGGGGTAGGCGCTCACCTCTGCTTCTTGGCCAGCGAGCCCAGGCACTGTTCTGGGTCACGGGCCAGAAAGTTCAGCACAAGGGAAACGCCCCCAGCCTAGCTATACTCCCGTTTGCTCAATAACAAGAGAGAAGCAGAAGGGTCAGCATGGGAAATAGTCTCAAACCAGTGGCAGCTCATTCTGATGAAGTGAGGGAGAAGACAGGTCTTCTAGATAGAATGAGTCCCTCTTTCTTCTGCCTCACCTGACAAGACACAAGTCTTTTGAAAGTATTTCCCCCTGGACTGAACTGTTTACTGCTGGCTCTTGCAAAGTAGCCTGTGACCTTTGTCCTCCTTGCCTTGGGCGCCACCATCAGCTCCAGGAGACTCTGTATGGGTGGGTGATGATCCGCTCTGATTTCCTTCTGCCATTTAGTCCCGTACAAAGCAGAAGGCCGGCAAGTAAGGCCTGAGCGGGGATTTCTCTGTGAATCACACAGGCCACAGCATAGGGGCACCCCCTTCCTCTGAGGAAAAATAATGGACGTCTCTGTGCTTCTTCTCTGCCCTTCAGCTGAAATTCATGTGGGGGAACTTGACTCTGCTGTCCTCCGAGAAGAGAGATGTGACCGTGCCTTCCCTGCGGCCAGGGCAAGTGGGAATCGTGTCTGTAGAGTTTGTGGCCCCCCCGGTGGAAGGAACTTACACGTCTCACTGGCGGCTGTCGCACCGAGGGGAACAGTTTGGGCCCCGGATCTGGTGCAGCATTATAGTGGACTTCTCCAGCACAGACTGCCCAGAGAGTGGCAAACAGATGTGCAGCTTTAGCCAGAAGGGCAGATCGCCTTGTACAAAAGAGGTGAGGCCTTCCTGTACCTGAGTGTGCATGGGGTTTGCGCGCCCGCCCCCCCAGTTCTTCTGTCTGCAAAGCTTCTTCTCCACTCTGCGCCTCTCCCAGACTTCCCTCAGCACCCTGACTCTCCACCTACGCTTTGTCCTTACCCTCCTTCAGCCCCTGTGCCGCCTGGCACCTGGGTCTCGTCCCTGCTTTGCTTAGTCTACTGCTCAGCGTCATCCAGGTTTTTCCCCCTCTTCAAGTATTGCCGCTTCTCCTTTGGCCCCTGCTGTCTGAAGGAGGCCGCTGCAGCCAGTTCCCTGCCCAGCCCTTCCAAAGAAGCCTTCTGGGCTCCCACAGCAGATGAGGAACGGGCCATTGCCTGCTTGAGTCAGTTCTTCTGCCCCTCTGCCACCTTGCTGCCTTCGGGGCTGGCGGCTGGCCGTCCTCCGGCCTGCTTGGCATCTCTGGGCAGTGGAGTGAGCTGGGAAGCTGCTCCAGCGGCATCAGGTTGGGCTTCTGCGGCCCTCCCTGGATGGCTCCCTTAGCACAGTTTGGAGGCCTCTATCTCCTTGGAGGTCAGCGCAGGGACAGGAGGTCCCAGGACAGTAGTTCTGCTCTGTGGCTGTGAAACCCTCTTCTCCCACTCAGATCCACCAAGGTAGATAGGGTGCTCCCTCTGTGTGTGTGTGTGTGTGTGTTCTTTTTTTTAATTTATTTTTTTATTTGTTTAGTCTGTTACATTGAGTATTTATAAGTTATTTACATTTTCTTCCCCTCCCTCCTCCAGCCAAGCGCACAGAGTCTTAATCTTCCACTGAATGTCCTTCCTTCTTTCTTTCAGCATCCAGTCTAGGTAGATCTTCCATCTGGTCTTGATTTCAGTGGATTTTTCTTCCCATGTTATTCCCTTGTTGGTTGATTCCACAATGTCTGACTGTATAAAATCAAACAAAATAGTTGTGCCAGATTTCTACTGTCCATTTACTTTTGTCTTTCCAACCCAGAGCGATCACTGCCTTTCCCGCCAGTATCATAGCCTTGACTAAATTATGAGTTTTCTTATCCAATAACGGGCTTCCTATTGTGCTTAACCAGCATTAGGTTAAAGTCTATAGGTAATGTTACATTGCATACTTTCCTAATGATTTCAGTAATTTCCCTCCAAAAGGTCTTTACTTCTGCACATTCCCACCACATGTGCGCATACCAGCCCTTAGCCTGTTTACAATGCCAGCACGAAGAACTCAGTCCTGGGATCATATTAGCTAGCTGTGCTGGGGTCTTATACCATTTTGTGTGTGTGTGTGTGTTCTCACAAGATGGTGCCGTGCGTGGTGGCAGCACAGTGTCACAAGCCAGTTCTTGCTTCTACCAGTTTAGCATGGGGCTGGTGACTGGCAGGGGGTTCCTCCTGCCCCCCTGAGTGCCCCGCTTGTTCCCTGCTTTCCACAGGAAAGATCTACAGAGCCCAAGGCAGAAGGTCTCCAGGCGGCCAGCGCTGCCATCCAGGGAGGGCTGGCCAACCCGTCTGCTCCACCACAGGTGAAGAGCATCACCCGCGAGAGAGAATTTTACATTCCGTCAGTTGACCTCCTCACGGCACAGGTGAAACTGCAGGTGCATGCCAGGCAGGGGGACTCGCTTAAGAGAGACACCGTGTCGTGTCCTTCACCATCCCTTGGGGTGGGCTGCTGATTGGCCTTCCTCCTTGACCTCGCCTACTTTGCTTTCCTTCCATTAGGACTTGCTCTCCTTTGAGTTGCTGGACATCAACATTGTGCAAGAGCTGGAGCAGGTCCCTCGCAGCAGTCCCGCGGGTATTTTCCCCCCCCCCCCCCGAAGTGTGGGACCTGGACGTCCTCACACATGCCCAGCTCTCCCTTGGGAATAAGGGTGCCAGTCCCAAGTTGGGGGGCAGGGAACTCCCGTGGTTTGGAGCCCTCCCTCCGCTTCAGGGCTGTCAGGAACCAGGGGAAATTACACACACACACACACACACACACAAAACCAGGCAAGAAACTGCCCGCTTCAGGGCTGTCAGGAACCAGGGGATATTACACACACACACCCCCAAAAAAACCAGGCAAGAAACTGAAAATAAACACAATGTTCCTACGTCACCTGGAAGTGATGTAGGGGGCAGCAATGCTCTGGTTTGGGGGCAAAACTCTGTGGTAAGAAGCAAATTCTACCATAGAGGTTTTGCCCACTCACCAGAGTGTCGCCCCCGACATGCCTGTGTCGTTGCACTTATTTCCAGATTCTTCCCTCCCCGCTCCCGGTAAGTGCCAGTCTAGTGTAGTGGTTAAGTGCGTGGACTCTAATCTGCAAGAACCGGGTTTGATTCCCGCACACTTAACCACCACACCAAACTGGCATCAGCATTGCTGATGAAATAAACACGATGTTCCTACATCATCTGGAAGTGATGTGTTCTCTCAGCCCCACCCACCTCACGGGGTGTCTGTTGTGGGGAGGGGAAGGGAAAGGAGTTCTTAAGCTGCTCTGAGACACCTTTGGGTAGTGAAGGGCGGGGGATAAATCCAATCTCCTTCTTCTTCTTCATCCCCCGCCCGCTTATCCGAGGGACCTGGCAGCCTTACTTGGGAAGCAGCGGCTGGTTGCTAAGGCAACACCCCTGGGCGTATAGAGACCTCTCATAACCTATCATCGCGACGGGGTTGCCAATTGGGAAGGGCATGCGGAGCCTTCTCCTATTCCGTCTGTGACTCAACGCCAGCTGGGGAAGCTTGGGCCGGCGTCTGCTTGCCTCAGGCGCCCTCCCTGCTCTGCCCGAGCCGTTTCTGCCCAAGTTCCCTCGATGTGCCCCAAAGAGAGTGCCAGCCATTCAAGGGGCGGTTGGGAGGTCACCGTCAGTTGCTGTGTTTGTAGTCCTTCCAGGCTCACTGTGTGAACCGACAGACTCCACTGTGTGTGTGCAGAATGCCTCTCCCCACCCCTGAGTAACCACAGGGGATTTCTAGCCCCGTGGGGAAGGAGCACTGCTTGGGACGCAGGCAGGCGGAGCGCAAGGGAGGCCCGCCCAGGCCAGCTGCCGCATGGCGAGGTCCCCAGGGCACCTCTTCCCTGTCCCTCAAGCCCCTCCTCTCAACCGAACCACCTTTTCCCCTACTAAAAACTGGCTTGGATCCAAAGCCATTGCCTGTACTATGTGGAGAGCTTGCCTCCTGGTTTTAGACGTAGGGCTCTAAAGCTGTGCGTCCTCGGGCGAAGTAAACTGCCTTCTGTGCCAAGAAAAAGCAAGTTGGGCAGCTGCCAGAATGTTCAGGAAATCTGCAGGGCATGAGAATCCCCACCTCAGGGAACCTGAGAGCCAGTTTGGTGTAAGTGGTTAAGTGCGCAGACTCTAATCTGGGAGAACCGGGTTTGATTCCCCACTCCTCCACTTGCACCTGCCTGGATGACCTTGGGTGAGTCACAAGCTCTGGCACAGCTGTCCTCGAAAAAGAGCAGTTTGTGTCAAGAGTTCTCTCAGCCCCGCCCACCTCACAGGGTGTCTGTTGTGGGGAGGGGAGGGGAAAGGAGGTTGTAAGCCGCTCTGAGACTCCAAGTGAAGGGCGGGGTAGAAATCCAATCTCTTCTCTCTTCTTCTTCTCTTACCGCCTTCTGCTACTGAACTACTGTTTCCTGCTGCTTCGTAACGTTGAGAAACTGGATTGCTTAAACTTACCTCCAGTACCAAATTCTGCTTTTGCTCAATACAACAGTAGATACTTTAAAACATGCATAGTTCTGAGGATCAAACGGCCAGAGCTCCCTCGTGAGTAATTCCGTTGTTTAAAACCCCTGTTCCGTGTCTTGGCTGAAAGTACTCGCAGAGAGTGAGGATCAAGATCCCAGGAACAGGGCCGTGTTTCCTACCCATTTGACCAGCAAGTGTGGATTGAAACGTCTCACCCCCACAGACTCTCAGGAAGCGAAGGGGAAGCCTGAATACCCGGCCAACCAGGAAGAAGGAGATGAAGATATGAGTGGAACACAGTTTGTGTGTGAGACAGTCATTCGCTCTCTGACCTTGGACGCCGCACCCGACCACCGGCCCCCACAAAAGAAGAAATCTTCACAGAGTAAGTGTGACATTTCCCCACGCCTACTGAAAATATAGTGGGATGGGGTGACTGGCTCATTTCCACTATGGGAAGGGAACTTGCAGTGGAGGGGGGGGAGGGAGTCATAAGAACATAAGAGACGCCAATGTTGGCTCAGGCCAGTGGCCCATCGAGTCCAACACTCTGTATCACACAGTGGCCAGAAATACCAGGGGCCCTCAGGAGGTCCACCAGTGGGGCCAGGACATTAGAAGCCCTCCCACTGTTGACCCCCCCCCCCAAGCACCAGGAAGACAGAGCATCACTTGCCCCGCAGTCCCTATCTAGACCTTGTGGCTCATTGCCACTGATGGACCTCTGCTCCATAGGCTTATCTAATTCCCTTTAATAAGAACATAAGAGACGCCAATGTTGGATCAGGCCAAAGGCCCCTCCAGTCCAACACTCTGTGTCACACAGTGGCCAGAAATACCAGGTGCCACCAGTGGGGCCACCAGTGGGGCCAGGACA